ATCTCCCATCCCTAACACCCATTCTCCAACCTCCATGTCCAACTCTCCTTCTCTTCCTCTCATACTTAACTTTTCTCTTTCTCCCACCCTTACTCACACCTTATACTCAATTCTCCTCTTCCTCTCTCCACCCCCACCTCTATATCCACCTCTCATCTTTTCTCCTTGTACCCAACTCCTCTACCCTTTCTCTCCCATCTCCACCTTTATACCACTCATTCTCATCCCTCTTTTTCCCTCACACCCACCCATTGTTATATATATATATATATATATATGTAAATGTGAATGGATATTGGAATTTATACTTGAATGCGTGATGAATATTGAATGATGATGTATATGAATGCGTATGGATAAATATACGATTATAAGAGTATATACGTGTGTGTGCGCGCGCTGAGAATGTTAGACTGTAGTTGGTTTGATTGATGAAAATTTGGCTAAGTGTCTTGTGCAAAGTATTCTCGCTGTAGCGAGAAGGCCCTAGGAGGAAGGCGTGAAATTGTCGCTTTCTCACTGTAACTAGAGGTCTCTCGCTATAGCGAGAGAGCGATAGTTTAGGGTGCAATTTTGAGAGCAGTCTCGTTGTAGCGAGAGGGTCTTGCTGTAGCGAGATTCTGTAAAAATCAGAGTGCAATTTGTGTTGAAGGTTTAACCGTTCATGAGCTAGATTGAAGGTTAGATTTGTGTTGGGAACGCTTAGAGGTGAGTTTTAATAGTTAGGGTTCTAATTTTCATCCCTCTTCTATGTTTTCTAGGTTCTCTTTAATTTTTCATGGAGTTCTCATGTGTTTTAGGGACGAAATTTGTGTGGAAAATGTTTTGTACCGGTAAATCATGTTGGGTCTTCGATTCGAGGTAAGGGGAGACTCTACTCTATCTCATTGTGTTTGATTTACCGTTTATTTTGCTAAATATTACAATGTGGCTAAGATAGAGGGTAGAAAATGTGTGTTCATAAAAATTATTGTGTGTTTGAATACAGTGTGATGTGTAATGAGATAGTTGAACCCATTGTGGGTGATTGTGTATTGTGAAATGTCATTGATTGGTAATTTAATAATGTGATTTGAATGTGGACCTATGTGTCGTGTGTCATGAATGAATATGGGCCTGTATGTTGTGTGTTGTGAATGAATGCGGACCTGTGTGTCGCGTACAAACATGAATATTGTGTGCAATTGAAATATGTGTGAATGAAGCATGTTAAATGCGGCTATGAACATGCTATGAATGGTTCAGCGATACACTAAAGGTATGGAAGATGGACACGGTAGAAATATCTTGGAGAAGATAGAGTAGTGGTGACACCAATAGTGAGCGTGGGTGCATCACAGGTCATACACTCTCCTCCTGACTAGACCTCTAACCAACACCTCTCGTGACCGCACACGTGATATCCGTGAAGCGAGGGTAACCGGCAACTATCCATGGTGTGAATTTATGATCACAGTGCCACAATAAGTGTAGTCATGTGTAGTGAGTGCATGTGTGTGTAAAATGCTTTGATGCTGTGAGTGCATCGGTTGTAAATTGAAATGAATTGCTTGAAAGTTTTGCCTGTTAAAATACATGTGAGTGTGCAAGGTGAGTCTTTATGTTGTTTGTGTGATGGATAGTGTAGAGTACTCACCCTTATATTTATTTTTCAGGTGACTAAGACGATCAGCACTGGACTGAGTGAAGGGATAAATAAAACTACTATAGGGCTTAGATTTTATTTTAAAAATTTGATGTAATTGAATTGGGCCTGTAGTAGTTATTGATATAAAACTTATAATCCCTTATTATTTTTAAAAACTTTGATGAAACTCTGTATTGAAAAAATGTATTTAAATAAAATTTTAATTATTCCCATTTTATGAAATTTATTATTTTTGAAATTAAGTTAAGGTATTACACTCTCTCTCATAAGATGCAAAATTTGCTTAAGCAAACTAAATTTGCATAAACAAATTTTGCATAAATTTTGCAAAAATAGAAAATCTTGTACAAGTCATTGTTAAGGATTTTTCATATACTTTATCATTCTTTAAAGATCCTTTCATCCATTATGTTAGATATCAAGAAAAATCAATTTTGGTTTCAAAGAATACGCCTCTTTTGATGAATAGATGGAAATCTTATTCTATCCATTTATGGCAATGTCATTTTGATGTTTGGTCTCAATGGAAAGATCCATATAAACTAATTATCCGAGCATTCATTTCACTTTTTGGATTATTTTTAAAATTTGCAACTAAATCTTTCAGTGATATAGAGTCAAATGTTACAAAATTTATTTCTAATGGAAATTGTTATGAAAAAATTTGATACAAGAGTTCCAATTATTCTTTTAATTAGATCATTGGTTAAAGCAAAATTTTGTAATGTATTGGGGCATCCCCTTAGTAAGTTGGTCTGGGTCGATTTATCTAATTTTGATATTATTGACTGATTTTTACGAATATGCAGAAATTTTTCTCATTATTACGATGGATCCTCAAAAAAAAAAATATTATTGAATTAAATATATACTTCAGCTTTCTTGTATTAAAACTTTGGCTCATAAACACAAAAGTACTATACGCGCTTTTTTAAAAAGATTAGATTCAAAAAAATTATTGAAAGAATTTTTTATAGAATTTTTTTTCTCTTTTTACTTAAACAGAAATAGAATTGGACATTCAATTCTGGTCACAACAGGAAAAGATTTAGATCTGTTTTAATATATTATATTTTGACTATTATTTAAGTTTCTTACAATAGGTTTTGAAACTTATTCTTACTTCCTAGTCACTTATTGAAGATTGTATGCTATAACTTTTTTTTAATTGAATTTATTTTCTTTTATTTAATGTGCTTGCTTATATTTTTAAATAGAAAAGTAAGATATTCTCCATATCTTTATTAATATCATTAAACAAAGTATTTTAAAGTTGTATTTGTATTAAAAAAAAAATTCTTACTTATATTTGTACTCAGTGTTGTTTCAAGATCAACCATTAAGATGATGGTACAAATCTTATGACAAGGGATTCATTTTAAGTTAGCACTTTTGCAAAATAACACTAAGGTAAAAAAAGAGACGTGCATACGAAAGGTTTATTTAATTATTTATTTTTGTTTATGAATGTTTTATTAGTAAATTGAAATTCATACAAAGTATTTGATTGATTTTGATTTTTTGGGTACTGATAATTTAATTGTATTTTTATTTTTTTAATGTTATAATATGCTAACAAATGATAATTTGGTTTTATTACTTATTAATTGACTTTTTCTTTTTCTTTTTCATTTTGACATTAAATTACATAAAATTGATTGTTTTTAGATATGAATATGATTTAAATGCTTTCTAGTTATATGTATATATAGTTTATTTTTCAACATTATACTATAAAATGCAAAGGGAAAGATTTGGTAGAATTTTATTATTATTATTACTATTTAGTTTGGTGTAAATTGTTCACCCCAAATATAAAAGGCAATAGAGTTGTAATTTGATCGTATTGCTAGATTAGTTTTGGTTGTATTTTCAGTTATTCATGTCCCATATATTTTGGATGTTGCTATATTTTTGTTTTACTTTTAAAATTTTTGGTTTGAAAATTTAGTCCTCGAGTAAGTTGTTGTAATTATTTGTATATTTCAGCTTTTATAATTTGAAGAAGCTTACTTATAAAGAAAGGAAGGTTAAGTTAATTGCAAGCTCGTGAGATCTAAACTTTGTTGTTAAAGGTCAAATTGAATCTCTTTTCATTATATCGAGAATAGTGAGAATTTGATATCCAAATTTATTTTTATTTAAGTAAAAATAAATTTGCTTAAGCAAATGTTTCATTTCCCGACTATATAGAGCCTCTCACTCTCTCACACCCACTTCTCATTCCACCTCTCCATCCCTACTTCCAACTCCCCATCTCACTTCCCTCACACCCACCTACTCCCCCTTTCTCATACTGACCTGCTTCTCTCCTCTCAGCCCAACTCTCACCTCTTGCACTGCTCCTTTCACGCTAAATCTCATCTCAATACCCCTCTCTCTCTCTCCACCTACTTCCTTCTCATTTTTAGCCTAAGCTTTTTTATTCACTTGAATCATAAATTTATTTAAGTGAATTTTATAAAATTTTAAAGTCATTTTTTATTTTTATTTAAATAAAAATAAAATATCTTAATTCTCATCACAATGAGAGAATATTCAGATCCTTGAAGGTCATGCAAATGATGATGTTAATGACAAGTGAAAGTTCAATTCCCCTGCTACAATAGAAGAAATTATCTTATTTTACATTTAAATTTCTTGAAAAAAATATTTTTCTCATTTTTATACTACTTGTATTTTAAGTCTCAATTTTATATTATTTTAACGTTTATTGATAATATTTTATTATTTTTTAAAATCTCTATTTAAACATAATATTTTCCCATATGCACGGGCTATCAACACTAATAAGTATGGTTTACTTGCAGTTATCCCTTTGATAAAAGCTAGGTTGGGTGGATGTTTGTCCAATGAGGTTTTATCTATGATGAGGAGACAAACGCCCGTTGTGGACCTTTCCAAAAACAAAGCACAGCATCTCGCCAAAGAGCGCTAGCCACTGACACAGAACCTGCCTGAACACTTAAAGTAAAAGCAGAATCATGCCCGTAACGCAATTTCCTTCTCTGAATGAATGTGAAACAATTTACAAATATACATTTCCAAAGAGGAAGCAATTATGAGAAGGGTTATTATTCCTGATCAAGTTGACGACCACCACCGACTCCATAACTCATCTCAAGTTTGTACCCTTCAACTCTTTTGCTTACAAGAAACCACCAACCCTCACCAACCAAGAATTCAAGTAGCAAGCATATGTAACATAATTATTTTCTACTTCAACGTGTCATAAATTTTCAAAATCAATCTACAAGTCAGTCTTTCAGACTGAGTTCTCCCAATTCAAAATTCAAGCAAATCCTAGGACAAAGTATTAATTGTACCAACAATCACCATTTTGTCAAAGTAGAACAGGGCAAAGCTGATATAATCATTGTGTGATATTACATGTCTTAACTTACAGCGGTACAAACTGTACCTAATTACAAAAGGAGAACTTGGATAGTTAATAATGACCTATTGGAAACAGAAACTGTTTCGATTCAAGGGGACAGCGGGTTTCATTACAGGTTTACCATTTTGTTTCATTCATTTTCAAACCAAGGGTTAATATATCCTTGTTATTCCTCTAAATAAGCTGGGTATAGACTATGCACAAGCATTTCGTATGTAATCACATGCAAACATGTTTCCAAAAGATTCATGACTAAACTCAAATTAGGAATATCAGGAATACTAATATTTAATGAATTGCAAAGCTATATATATAACCAAGCATTAGAAATGAGTACTTTCTTCTGTGCACCCATGTCCCATATCAATAACAAAACTACCAATCATAAAAAGCTCACGCAAGGAAAAGTGCTGTGGTGGGGCGCCACGTCCCCTTCTGTTTTCAATTTCATCGAAGTTATTATTTTATATCATTATCTATTCGTGGTACCAGATATTTTGAACTGTTCCATGCTCTAGGTTCACATAATCTTGACACGACTATGTAGCCAGACACTAGCACGTGTCATCTCCATCAATACACTGAATCAACAACCTCCCTTGTCGCGTCAAAAGACAAAAGAACAAACCAGGTGGACTTGCATCACAAATCGCCAATAATATAAACTTTAGTAGAACATAGAAGATATATAAAAACTGAAATACAAAATTTCTGGGACGCCTGGTGCGCGTGAATCTCACTTATATGTTTTTGGTTTAAATTATCGATTAAAGTGGCTATTAATTAAATAATTAGAAAGACACATGGATCGAAAATGAAAAATTATTACGCGAATAATCCTAATTTTATTATTGAAGGTAGCTCATCATTTTTATGTTTGTTATAACAGACTCCACTCTATGAACCACATACTGACACAAATGAAAAGGGAAGGGTTCCATACGATGCGTCACACCACAATCCCTAAAGACGACAAGAGAAAATGCAAAACGACACCGAATAGAAGACACAGATTTCAGAGCCACCAGAACACAGAGCCTTATGGTCAACGTCGTCCATCTAAGAGAGTTGACCACAGTCGGCGACCGTCACCGGCCGGGAGGTCTTGCCGGTGTTTGATCCAACCTTCTCGATCTCCCTCACCACGTCTATTCCATCAACCACCTGGCCGAACACCACGTGCTTTCCGTCGAGCCACTCCGTCTTCGTCGTGCAGATGAAGAACTGAGATCCGTTCGTGCCAGGGCCAGCATTCGCCATCGACAACACGCCGGGGCCGGTGTGCTTCTTCACAAAGTTCTCGTCAGCGAACTTGGCGCCGTAAATCGATTCACCGCCGGTGCCGTTCCCGGCAGTGAAGTCACCCCCCTGGCACATGAAGTTAGGGATCACACGGTGGAAGGTTGAGCCCTTGTAGTGAAGAGGCTTGCCGCTGCGGCCAGCCCCCTTCTCACCGGTGCAGAGGGCACGGAAGTTCTCAGCGGTGCGAGGGGTAACATCAGCGAAGAGCTCGAAGACGATACGGCCGGCGGGTTGGCCACCGATGGCCATGTCAAAGAAGACCTTAGGGTTTGGCATAATTGCACAATATAAGCTCGCTCACACTGAAGAAGGAGAACGGGGATTAGGGTTTGGACTTCGGGAAAGACGAGGAGAGATATTTATAGTGGCGCGTGCACCTGAATATCTATGCAACTGACCGTTCGATTGGGACACGTGGCGGTATCTGAGTGAAGTGAATTAACTACGGTTGAGTTAGGGGTTGACTAGGGTTAGTGACCGGATCCGATGTCACGGATATGCTTTTGTCATTGTGCCGAAGCCTTTTGCAAGTGTGGACTTTTTTAAGGCCCCAACAAACGACGCCGCTTCATGCTTCTCATTAAATTAGAAGTTTATATTCTAAGACTCTCTTTTTCTCAGAAGAAAATTGTTAATAATAAATTACGATATATCCGTTGGGTGAGAAATTTTAATTTTTGGGTGGAGATTGCGTGAGAATTACTTGATGTGAGAAAACGAAGAGTGGAAGATGGGGCCAAATGAATGTGGACAAGGATTGATCTCTAGAGGGACCATCTTGATTGGACATGACCCAACACTGTCCATTCATTTTTTTTCCCTCTGTGTCAGCTTGAAACCAGTTAACTTGTTAGATTTTTATAAAAAACCCTTTCTTTTCTTTCTTTTGTTAATGATATCTTTATTTAATATTAATTAAAAATAAGGCTACCAATACCATTGTTTTATTTCAACAAATCTTAACTAAAAGTTAAAAAATATGTATATTCTAGAAGACACGTTAAAAAATAAAGTTATTACTATTATTTCCAACTGACTCCTTTAGTTCTGAAAACCTGAAAATAAATGGAAAAGGAAAGCAAGGATTAAGAAGGAAGTGATATTTTTTGCTGTGTGGGGTAGAGAGGGGCAAAGTAGATAGAGATGTGGATAATTTCATTTTACCTCTCACTGGCCCCTCAATAACTATTATATCTTCTAAAAAAAGGGGCTAAACACCATTAATCATTCCAAATCAGTGATGCTATTGTCCCACGACTTACATTCAATAACTGGATAGTGGGAAAACTTTAATTTTTGCAATTATAACTAATAAAAATACATATTTGTATGAATATATTTATATTTTTTATTAGTTATTTTAAAAATTTATAATATAAATATAAAAATAATTATTTTTAACATAAAAATATAAAATATAAAATAATTTTTTTTATTTTTTAATAAATTATATATAAGATAAATAAATATAACACTTAAAATTAATTTATATGTGATTTTAAATATTTATAAATTTTAATAATAATAAATTTTATTATAAATTAATAAATATATTTGTACATTATATGAATTTATTTATATTTTTATTAAATTATTTTATATAAATAAATTAATAAATTATAATTTAAATATACAAATATATAATAATAAAATTTTATTATATTAAATAATATTAAATATAATTATATTAAAAATATGATAACTATTTTTTATTTATAAAATTTTTTGTATATTTTATATATTTTTATTCTCTTTAATGATAACAATTTTTATTTTTTAATTGATATAAACATAAAAATAATTTTTTTAAAAACATGTTAAGAGATCGTGAAAGAGAAACTAAACAGTAAAAAAATTTAGTTATTTTTAAATATAAGTAATGTAAATTTATTATATTATTATTATCATTAAATATTTCAAAATAAAAATAAAATTCATAAAAAAAAAATATATGTCAATGAGTAAAAATATAATAAAAATATATTTTTAATAAATAATGAGGTTTAATATTATACTGAAATAAGACCTATTTAAATGAAGTCTAATTATTATTTTTTAATAATTAAAATAAATATTAACATAAATTTATTTAATAAATTATGTATAAAATTCTTATTTTATGATTTTAAAATGATATATTTAAACTTAATTTATAATAAATAAATATATACTAATAATTAGTAATTTTAATTTAAAGTATTTTCTAAAGTTTAAATAAGTATTAATTTCAAAAATATGATATTATAAATATTATATTAATACAAAAATATATATTTAGCTTACTTTATATTTTACGTATAATTTTGTTTATAATTTGAAAAAGAATTGCAAATTCATAACATAATTGAATACTCTAGAAAAAAATTTTAAAGCATTTAAAATTCAATTTTATTATAAATATAAAAATATTAATATTAAAAGTATTGAAAAAAAATTATAATATTTTAAAAATTAATTTGTATCTTTATTTAACTGTAATTTTTTTCATAATTATAAATAAAATGTTTAAAATATGAAAACAAATATTAAAAAGTTGAAAAACTTTGATTCTTTATTAAAACAAATTAGAAAGTAAATATAACATTTAAATTTAATTTATAGTTAAAATATTATATTTTATTTATTCATTTATTATAGTATAAAAATATTAAATATATAAATCCAACAATTATAATAAGATTTTAATAATAAATTTATATATTACTTTTTCATTATAATGATATTTAATATTATTTTAATTGTTATAATTTTTTATTTTTCATTTGAAAATTTTAATTTTATAGCCATTAATATAATATTTAAAAAGAAATAATATCATTCTTAAAATTTAATTAAAAAATAATTTTAGTTAAAGGATGAATAAGAAAAAAATAATAAAAAAATTAAATTACTATATTATTATTTAATTTTGTTTTAATTAAAATTTAGTATATGTTTTTTAAATTTCTCATATTTAGAAAAATTACAAGTTTTGTAATATCAACATTTTAAATAATATGAACTAAATTCTTAATATTATGGTGAGTTTTTTCACTCTTTTTATATAACTAATTTTAATAATTTTTTATTAAATACAATTTATTGTCAGTTTCTTGTTTTCATTTTTAACATTGTATGACTATTAAAGTTTTTATGTATAATTAATTATAAATTTTTTTTAAATACAATTCAAATGTAATAATTATGAATTAATTATAATTTAAATTCTTAATATATATAAAACATTGTAATCAATCTTAATAAATTTTTATTAAATGTAATTTATAGTTAATATGTTGTTTTTGTTTTTAACATACATCGACATTTATTTTGATAATCGATATGACTAATATTATATGTGATTCTAAGTAATATAAAGTTTCAATAAATTTATATTAAATATAATTTATGATTAATTTGTTGTTCTATTTTTAACATGTACCATCATTCATACTAATTATTATATATAACTTTAAGTATTCTAAAGTTTAATAAACATAATTTTGTTGTAAATGTATATTGTAATATGTAGCTGTAGTCAATTTTATATAGATTAATTTATATATTTTAATAAATTTAATTATAAAAAATATTTTGAGTGCTATAAAGATAATCAAAATTTTATAATATTTTATTTTATTAATTACATTTTATTTATTATCAGTATGTTTAAAATCTCTTTAAAAAGTATATTTATAACATGAGATTTTATTATTTTTTGTAATTATTTTTAAATATATTTATAATTTTTATTTACAAATTTTAAAATATGACATATATGATATATCAACTCCATGATATAATTTTAGATAATATAAATTTATAATAGATTAAATTAGTGAAAAAAATATTGATAGATTTAATATAATTTAATCAGTTAAGAATAAAATTTAATACATGATATTACTTAAAAATAATACAATTTTATATTTATTCAATATCAGGCTTGTGTTGGGTGTATATAGAACTAATTATGTATTCAATTAACTGCAGCATCCATGTGTTTTGAAATGTGATGCGGTAAGTTAGTTGTGGTGTGAAATGGCTTGAAATTATGTATGTATAAGTTGTGTGGTTGATGTGTAAAAATTTGATGCATGTTGTGTGAGTTAGAGGGTTTTGATTGATGATGAGTTGCAGAATATCTCACTGTATCGAGAACAAGTCGTCCAGAGTAAGGCTCTTTGGAGCCATCTCGCTGCAGTGAGAAGTTGATAAGGTTAACTTAACTAACACTCTCGTTGGAGCGAAAATTTCTTCTCTTTGGAGTGAAAAATTTTTCTCGCTGCAGCAAAAATGATAGATAGCATAAGGGTTTTAATGTCTAGTATATCTCGCTGTAGCGAAAGGTGCTTGCTATAGCAAGAGGTGCTCGCTGTAACGAGAAAATCACGAGTTAAAGGGTATTTAAAGGATTTTAAACTAAAAACTTTCATCTCTCATCAAATTACCAACCCTTCTCACTTCCCTTCCATTCTCTCACCCTCTTCACTCTAAGAAAACCTTCTCAAGGCAGAACTTCCTTCAAATCTAAGTGAGAACATCTACCTAGTGCGGATCTAGGTAAGTTTAGGGCTTGGTTTTCCTATTTCATCCCTTCTTTTCTTTTGATTTCTCTAATTAAAGGCTCCTATTTTCTAATATTGCAGAGATATGAGCCTTTGAGTCTTATTTATTTTTCTGGAACTCTCGTGGACCTAGATCTGAGATAAGGGAAGCTTATCTTAGATGGCCTTTGTTGTTCTTTAACTACGGAAATACCATGTATGGATCTTATTTCAACTAAGAGTGAGTTGATGTATAAACAAACCTTAGAATAGAACCCAGATTAAGTACGGCTAAGTGGGTTGACCATTGTTGATGAATGTAATAATACTTAATGTGTGTGAGGAGATTTTCTGTTGTTTTGTGAATGGTATGAAATTCTCCATGCTTGAGATAAATACTTGGAATGTTGTGGTATAACTGATCGCGAGTGTCGCTCTTGGACAAATTAATAAAAATCGAATTGCATAAAAATTATGTAGTAAGAGGTGCAATCCGGGTCGTCTCCCAATGATGATAACATTATACGATTATAAAATTTTTAGAGGAGGTTTGATTTATGAAATAACTAATTAGAATCAAAAGTTAAAAATAATTAACTTACTTTAATCCAAGAATTTAGAAGAACTACAACCACTCTATCACCAGATTCCAAGAAAATGCATCAAACAACAAATTAGTGATTAACATTAAATTCGAATGAAACCTCAATTCAAATTAAGTATTCACACGAGAACCCTCATGCATTCGATTAACATACAATTCGCTCAAAGTTCAGAAACCTTTAGAACCTAATCGATTTGT